CTGGGTCGCCACAGCGTAATGAACCCAACACCTACAACCCATCACAGGGAACATCCATGTCACGTGATGAAAGTGATGACCGGGGAGGTTGTCGAGGATGAAAATGAAGGACGGGGGGGGTTGGAGATCAAAGTGAAGGGTGGGGCGTGGGTGTGTTGGAGGATGGCATTTGGGCCCCTAATAATATCTCTTGGGGCCCCAAAACTGCGTGGGCCCATAGAACGGTCTACAAATGCCTGTCTGTCAGCACAGTGGCAGATTCAGAAACCAGACTAACGTCATATGCTAATGAGGGAAAGATGGTCACTAGTAGGCGGGGCTTCCCCCTCTGATGACACGTACAAACGTAGAATGTCAATCAAAGTATTTCTGCAGACTCTTTATATCAAGTTTGATTATAACATAAAATAAATACATTTTTTTTACAAGATAAAGAAAAAAATGAAAGATAATTTACAATGAAATAAACAGTATAGGGCGAGGCAGGGGCGCAATAGGTAGTGCTGTCGCCTCACAGCAAGAAGGTCGCTGGGTCGCTGGTTCGAGCCTCGGCTCAGTTGGCGTTTCTGTGTGGAGTTTGCATGTTCTCCCTGCATTCGTGTGGGTTTTCTCCGGGTACTCCAGTTTCCCCCACAGTCCATAGACATGCGGTACAGGTGAATTGGGTAGGCTAAATTGTCCGTAGTGTGTGTGTGTGAATGTGTGTATGGATGTTTCCCAGAGATGGGTTGCGGCTGTAAGGGCATACGCTGCGTAAAAACTTGATGGATAAATTGTCGGTTCATTCCGCTGTGGCGACCCCGTTATAATAAAGGGACTAAGCCGACAAGAAAATTAATGAATGAAAAAACAGTATATTTACATATGGAAATGCAAACAAACCCCATTACAAATAATGCTACAATTAATAACAACACAAATGACAAGTGCTGTGAACTCCACACATATTTTTGACATTGAGTATTTCGTCCTGATTTTATTACGAACTTCATATCACGAGCAATCAAATTTCCATCGATCCTCCGAGACTTTGAGAACTCAAAACTTTCTCAACTGAATTATAAATCTTTTACAATGTGATTCCGCTTCATAAAAACCGATTAGAAATGACCTCAAGGAGAACAGGTAGATAATAACAATACAAACTCTCTGTAAAAGTAAAAAAAAACGGCAGTCCGGAATGATTCAGGTTGATTCTGAAATGTAGTGACAGGGTGTTTTTCCTCTGTCGGACCCACAGGACACACACTTTCACAGGCCTTTTCACACACTAACAAAACAAACCCTTCTCTGGAGAGATTATAAAACTGAGTCCAGAAAGACAAGGAAATCTGAACCACAAATATCACATGATGAGCTGCAGATTTTCCCACAAAAAGCGAGTCTGCAAGAGTCAGAGGTCATGGAAATCTACGGAAGCGCTTGTTAAATAGGATTGATATTTTTGCATATAAATGAGACTTTGAGTTTCTGGACGTCATCTAAATCAGCACAGAATCAGCTTCTTCTCATTGGGTTTTTGCACATCATTTTCACATCAGATTATCATTGCATTGAAATGAAGAAAGATGCACTTTTTGGACACATGCATTTACAACTGCTGCGGGTTTCTATAAACAACAGGTGAATATATAATGAGAGATATGAGATGAAAGAGTCGGCTTTTATCAGGACTGCAAACACCGGGATTGTTTTTATGTGATATGTATTGTAGTGGCGATGCAGTGGCGCAGTGGGTAGAACGTTCACCTCACAGCAGGAAGGTCGCTGGTTCGATCCTCGGCTCAGTTGGCGTTTCTGTGTGGAGTTTGCATGTTCTCCCTGCGTTCGCGTGGGTTTCCTCCGGGTGCTCCGGTTTCTCCCACAGTCCAAAGACATGCGGTACAGGTGAATTGAGTAGGCTAAATTGTCTGTAGTCTATGAGTGTGTGTGTGGATGTTTCCCAGAGATGGGTTGCGGCTGGAAGGGCATCCGATGTGTAAAAACTTGCTGGATAAGTTGACGGTTCATTCCACTGTGGCTACCCCAGAATAATAAAGGGACTAATCTGACAAGAAAATGAATGAATGAATAAATGAATGAATGTATTGCAGTATTAAAAACTGCAGGAAGTTTACCCTTGAATAACTTCAGTAATTCATTCATTCATTTCCTTTTCATCTTAGTCCCTTTATTATTCTGGGGTCGCCACAGCGGAATGAACCGAATATGTTTTATGCAGTGGATGCCCTTCCAGCTGCAACCCATCACTGGGAAACACCATTACACACTCATACACTTGGGACAATTTTAGCTTACCCAATTCACCTATAGGCCCGAATCAGTAACCTTCTAGCTATGCGACAGACTGCGCCACCGTGCCGCCTAAAAAAAAGTCCTATTATACCAATTTTGCAAGTCTCGGGTGTTCTCCAAATGTGTCTGTGAAGCTTCAGATCCCTGTCCAAATCCCCTGCTTTTGTGAGTCTCTTTAAATGCAAACGAGTTGCTGTTCCATGCCCCTTATCCAAAAAGGGCGGAGCTTTACAGCTTGTGCCTTCATTACTCAAACAAACAAACAAAACATGTTTTACAGTCTTGTCAGTTTAAACTCCTGAAGTATAGCATTTGCACAGAAAGACAACGACTCTCTCCACTGTGGGTGTGAAGTATATAAATTGGGAATATTGTAATGAAGGATGGAGGAACAGTCAGAACGGCATTTGTTTAATAACACTGTTACTGACATATAGAGTAATGCATCATTTAGAAAGCATCATTACACACCGCACACTAATCACACTAAGCAATGGTGTGGTAACAGTTTTGTTTTAATGCAATGTGCCGCCCTAGATATGAACTCAAATTAAACAAAATGAAAAAAACAACGACAATGTTTTGTAAGCGTGACCCAGCGTGATGCGACTGTTATATAAAAACCCCTCAGATATCCATCACCTGCTCCAATAACAAAAAATAAAATAAATAAAACAACAAAACTACAATGATGAATCACTCCAAACCTGAAGTCTGACGAATTATAAACAGGGCAGGATAGTAGCCTTAGCAAACAACACACAAACACACAAACAAACAAACAAACAAACACACACTCACATACACACACGTTTGTTTTGTAGGGAAAAAGTAGGGACATTACATAGGTTTTCATTCATTGTATACTGTCTAAACCATATATTATATTGCCCTCACCCCACCCCTAAACCCAACCATCACAGGAGTCAGTGTGCAGCTTTACTCTCTGATTAAACTCATTCTGTAGGATTTATAAGCATTTTAAGAAATGAAGACGTCACCAATATCCTCATATTTCACCTCCTTTTCGTAATACCTGTATCATACCCATGTCATTATACAGATTTGTGTCCTGATAAGTCACAAAAACACGTACACACACACACACACACACACACACACACACACACACACACACACACACACACACACACACACACACACAAACACACTCTCTAAACTCAGTCAGGGGTCAAAATTTGTCTGCTGTTGTCTGACTTTTGACTGTGATTACTTTTATATTCAATATAAGCAAATACAGTATTTAAAATATATACTAACCATACCATAATATTATAGTGTATTTAAATATTAAGTGGCTAAAATTATTGACTAGCAGTTTTTACATTTTTTTGTAAATATATATTTTCAAATTTAAGACAAAATAAAAGAAATAAAGTTAAAATATGCTTTAATTTCTTTGTCCACAAGTAAACATTTATCTTTGTCTTCACCGCACAGCCACATCAGCGTTTACATTACCTGATTTCACAGAAAAAAACAGGCAACACAAATACATTCAACGTCATCACATCAACACATTAAAAAAAAACTCTATTTAAACCCTATAAATACTTAGAAACAAGTATGTAAAATTCTAATGTCAGTCGACACAAACGACATTTGATATGCATTTTTCTTTACTTGAGGTTGCCTAAAATGTCTTTTTGATGACAAGAGCAGAAATGTTATATTTGAGGGATGAGAATAATCTTCAGTAATGACGTGTGCTTTCTGTTTAATTCTAGTTGAAGGAATTTCATTTGGTTGTCTTTGTGCTTTACCTACAATTGCACTGACAAGTTTTCAACCCAGGCTCATTTTGAAAAGTCCCTTAACTGTTTCTGGAGGCCGCGAAATACATCAAGGGAGGTACATATTTCAGCTGTTTTTGTTTTCACGAATCCCTGAGAGGCCGCTGTGCGCTTTTTTGTATCTGAAATGTCTCTTGCGAGTGCCGTTCGCACCCGCGCTGTTCTTGCATGAACCCACCACAGGCCACTGTCGAACGACCATCTGTCTGACTGACTGAATGATTGACTGTGTGACCGGCCTATTCGCTGACCCACTCTCCTCCTTCCCTAAACACAACCAAGTTTACCGACTGACCCACCCATCCGCTTCCCTAAACCCAACCGGCGATTAACAAAAAACGTCCAGAAAAAGAGGTAAGCTGTCAGCCGGTAAGCGTCAAAAGGAACGGCGTCACATCGCCCTATATCGTTCGCTTTAAAAATGAAATGCAGCCATACGTAGCTTCATAATTCGCAGTCTCCAGAAATGTCCACGGGAATACGTTTTCAGATTGAGCCTGGGTTGCAACTTTTACTATTCAACACAGTTTTTAGATTCCTTAATTGGCACCAGTCCATACAATGCAATCGTGTTAAAACCCACTACACTTTCAACTAAGTACTTGTATACCATCTCCAGAATATCTTGACTCACATTAAAATGTTGTAACCTCATCATGAGATAAAATCTCTGCATAGCTTTTTAAAAAACACACGCTGCATTTGCAGCAAAAGTCAATTTACTATCAATAAATGTAACATAACATTGCATATTGTTATATATAACAATATAATAAAATATAACAGGAATTTATGTAAAAAAAAAAGGATTTTTAGCTGCACACTGTATGCTAGTTGAATACTAGAAGTACCTTCAGTCTCTCTCTCTCTCAGACAGACACACGCTCCTACCTTGAGAGGTTTGGGTGCATATATATTTCTTGATCAAGGCATCTGTGGGTTGAGTGTAAAGGCTGAGGGCGTATTTCAAGGACTTGAGATCAGGGCTCTTTTCCAGGAAGGTTTTCTTCAGACCGTTTCCACCCGCATGGAAATATTGCTGGACCAGAGAAACAAACATGCAGTCAGAAAACACACAAGCTGAACAAGAACTGCACCATACTGAGAACATTTGACATTGGATTATTTTGTTTCTCTGCGATTTCCTGAACACAGGCTCATTAGGAATATGTTGCCGGGGATACATTTTTGAGAACTGAGAAATGTGGCTGCATTTTGTGTGAAACAAACGCGGTGGCTTTTCTTCTTAGTTTTCTTTTGAAAACACTATTGGTTGGGTTTGGTGAAGGGCGTGTGGGTCAGTCGATATCTAGCTGATATATTATGCATGATGACAAGACGACTGACTTTTCTCATAGATGCACACACTAAAAACAATGGTTGCAAACAATGGGCTGAATTTAAACAAACAAATTTAATGAAGTAATGTTCAACTGAATTTGTTTGTTTAAATTTAGCCCAAATAAATGTTTGCAACTACTTACCTTGAGTAAAAATTGAGTAAATCCAATGAATTGTTTATTTCAGTGCACTAAAAGGACGTTATCATGAGCAAAAATGGAAACACAAGAAATTGAGATTGGCACATTTTAGAAAACGTGCCCAATAGGCCGCATACAATTATATAAACTAAGGCTCCTGGTCATCTATACTTCCAACTCAGCGTTGCATATCCAGCGACTATTATTATTATTATTATTACAAAGCATACAATATAATGACATATATCAATTCAGCTCCTCCCTCCCCCTAAACAAAAGTACATTATCAGGAATGGGAGATCCTTACACAAAATAAGGCAATCACTCTGGGTCCTAATCATTGCTTTGTGCAATCATAATAGAGACTTTGTCAGCAGGTGTAGTCCAGATCTTTAATGTACATATTTGTACCAAGCTCACTTGGGCCATAGATAATTCCAACATTATAAAAAATTTTTTAATTTTTATGGTAAATAAACACACTCAATGAGTCTTAAATGAATTCATTAGTTCGGTGTGAGTTTTTAGAAAGCTGCAGAGTGTTGTCGGTGCATGTGGAATTAAAGCGTTTTCTCCATCAGACGTCTGATCAGATCTGCTTTATTATTCTATTAGCGTAAAGGCCGATTGCAGACGCTGTGATTGAGACTGATGAGATTCACACTGACCAATCAATCTGTGGAAAGGCCACGTGTCATTTTCAATGAGTGCATTTACTTTATTTTTACTCTCGCTGACCTTACAAAAAACCCTCGATAAAAATACATGAATAGATCATATAGATTTTCTTCCATAAAATATAGCTCTTATCTTATATACAGTGGCCAGCATATACGAGTACAACCCCACAAATCTCTCATTTAGAATAATGTTTTCTATAGTAAACTTTACAATATTATTTTTGTGCATATACATTAGTTTTACTGAATACGGAAGCTAAATCTGCCGCTTATCTAACAAAATAACCTACAATAATGGTTTTAAAATGAGTAGTGCAAATTTATGTCAGGGAAAAATATTAAATGAAATTGTCAAAAAGAGAGAAAAATCAAGAGAAACAAAAAATATCTACAATTTTGTTAAAATGTTGTAGTTTGTCATTTTTTGCGATGTTTTGCGTGAATTTAAATGCATAATCTCTGTTTAATAAATCGGTTTTGTTCAAATACACCAATATATATTACCAATATTCATGGTCAATATATCTTAAGCATAACAAATACATTTATAAAGATGGTAAGTATATAATCTCATTCACTTGGGAAATGGAGGCAACTTGAACGGTTTGTGAGCACAATTAAGTGCACACAGCAAGCCATATCATCTGATAATTGCAGGAAATAATTCCAAAAGGCAACTGACTGTGTAAAGCCCATAAAACAATACAAAAATAAGATGTATATACAGAGTTCAGCGGCTAATCAGCCGGAATCAGCTGAGGTGACATGACCCAGCTGTCACTCAAGTGGCTACGCCCTTAAATATTCAGACTTAATATAAACAAAATGGATGAGTAAAAAAAAATCACCCCCTCACAGTTTTCATGAAGGGGTATATTAGCTGTATACAGCAAAACCATCTTTTGTACCAGGCTGTAAACAAGTTATTATTAGCTGTAAATATACCATTGCAGTCAGAAGTCATTTAGATTTCCTGAAGCCAGCCCCCAAAGGCAAATCGATGAATTGCAGTTTTAGTTACTTCTGAATTGGCTTCCCGAGGGAGAGCGGGAGGTTGGTGCTTGTATAGAACATGACTTAAAGTGCCATGAAACCCCCTTGTTTCAGCAGGGTGTTTTCACACCTCTACTTTGGAAAAAGTCAGGAAAGTGGGTGTGTCCAGCTCTGTTTATCGGGGAGTGTCGGAGGAGCAAAAGAGGGATGATATGGGAGTATCGATTTGGCTAGCGCTGATTTTCAGAGTCAAAACACACACACACACACATACAGGGGAGAAAGTGACTGTGTTTACTTGGACATCAGTAATCAAATTATTTACCAAATTATTAAATGGTGGACTTTAACTGCAGTTTGGCTCTTTCATTCAGGAATTTCATTCATGCCCCTCGCGACAAACGAAATATTTGATTCGAGGAACTGCTGTAACCGTGTATTTTTTATGCAATGTTTGTTACCGCACAACAAGCATTTCCCGGAAACTTAGATGCACTAGGCAGGTAGTGTCAGAAAGCCGTTTGTGTTATTCCGGTCATAAAATACGGCGAAAATCCTACACGACGGTAATAGTTTGGTTGTGGGGTTAACATGTTTACACTCGGTGTAATAGTTCGATACAAACTAACTTTGCCATCTGAATAAACAAAGATTTCAAGTGAGAAGTCGCTCACTTACCAAATCTGTAGAGACAGAACAATCAACAGCAACTAGAGCCGCGTCTTTATTAAGAGGAGACGAGCAACAAATCCGGATCTCACCATTTGCAGATGAGAACAGCTCTCGGCTAAACAATGTTCCTTAGACTCGTATTTCTGTCGCACATAACGTGCACTGTTATCCACACGTGAGTCCAGCTGCGCTCTCATAGAGAGAAAATGAAAACAAAACCTTCACTGCAGCAAATTATAAAAGCAACACTGCACGCTTGTTTTGCCAACACAACGTGGCGTCTCTCTGCCGTCTAAACACTGTAACATTGATGAATATTAATGAAGTTGCACAATACAGCGCGCTGATTGGTTTGAACCAAGCCTTACTCATGCATTAATGCAGCACACTCAGAGACGTAATACGGTACTCCCAGGGACAGACGTCCAGTCTACATGCTGGAATTCACACTAAGATCTCATGGCCGTGACGCAGCTTCAAAAATTAGTTTCCAGAAGTATTAATTTGCTCGAAATTACGCAAAAACAACCAATTTTCACTATCTAGTGACATATATGTGTCCTAATAGTGTTTTTAGCAGTGTGGGACACATATAGGACTGTCAACAGCTCAAAACATGTGTTTTGGTGTGTCGTGACCCTTTAAATCAGCCGTTAGGCTTGATAGTCAGGCTCAATCCTGTTGGTGTCCTAAATCTGGCAACCTGTGCTTGCATGTTTTAAATCAGACAAGCAATACCTAGTTCAACCACTAGGTGTCAAACTTGCATACTGCACCTTTAAGAATATTTCTAAGATACTAAGATAATATAAGACATAAATGGACAATGTTTATATATTTGGAGTGCACAGATTCATTCATATTTAAAGAGGCGTGAAAACAAAGACATCAGACTGTGATTGTTCTCCTCTCTCTGGTTTTATGGGTGCGTGTCTCTTTTCTTTGTAGGCACAGATGAATTCTTCTTATTATTGTGTGAGTATCTGCAGATCTCCAGCACCTCCAGCTCTGAATCTGAGCTCTTCTCCATTCACTGACAGCATCTGACTCCAGGCTTTTCTGAACTTCACTAATTAGCTTCTGTCCTCTGAATACCAATGAGCGGAAGAGCAGCAGTCAATAATATCTCTGATCACACACGCGCACGCGCACGCGCACGCACACACACACACACCCTAGTGTCAGTGTGTAAGAGAGTATGCCTGTGCATGTGTGAGAGAGAATGTGTGTCAGTGTTGTGTGTGTGTGTTCGTGTTTGTGTGAGAGAGAGAATGTGTGTCAGTGTTTTAATGTGTGTGTGTGTGTGGGTGTTTGTTTGTGTGTGTGAGAGAATGTTTGTCAGTGTTTTTGTGTGTGTGTGTTTGTGTGAGAGAGAATGTGTGTCAGTGTTTTATTGTGTGTGTGTGTGTGTGTTTGTTTGTGTGTGTGTGTGAGACAGAAAATGTGTCAGTGTTTTAGTGTGTGTGTGTGTGTGTGTGTGTGTGTGCGCGTGTGCGTGCATGTTTGTCTGTGTGTGTTTGTGTGTTTGCGTGAGAGGGAATGTGTGTCAGTGTTTTAATGTGTGTGTGTGTCTGTGTGTTTGTACGATGGAGAGAGAATGTGTCAATGTGTGTGTGTGTGTGTGTGTGTGTGTGTGTGTTTGTGAGTGCATTTGTTTGTGTGTTTGTGTGGGAGAGAGAATGTGTGTCAGTGTTTTAATGTGTGTGTGTGTGTGTGTGTGTGTGTGTGTGTGTGTGAGAGAGTTTTCAGTACATATTCACTCTATGTGTGGTGACCCCCCCGACCTCTATATACAGTATACAGTCTATCTTCTCTGTAATGTGAGTCTGAGAGCAGAAGGAGACAGAAACTGATACCTTGATTGTAGGAAGCACTAAATCCATAGCGGCACACTGACGAGGACTGAGACTCCGCGCTTCTTCCCGGATCACATGCTCCTGTTGGACACACACACACACACATGTGTTTTGAATGTTTCTAGTGTATAGAGCAAACCACTGTTGTCCAGTGATTCCCCTAATCCCCTTAACTTTACTAGTTAACCTAATTCATCTAGTTTTCCCTTTAAATAGCACTTAAAGCTTTTTCATCAACTATAAAAACTGGAAAAGCCTCAGAAGAAAGACTCACCTTGAGTTTGGAGAGCTGACCGAGGTCTTTCGCAGCACTGAAGATCATCTGAGCTCCTTGCTGTTCAACACAAGCACAAAACACACACAGAGAAGTAGGACATATCAGTGAAATAAAGTCATGCTCAGTGTGTCTGACTCTGCTCATTAACAAGACAGACAACAGTTCTGTTTGATCACGTCGCTTATTATTTACAAAAACAATAATGACTGTGGGCGGCAGGGTGGCTCAGTGGTTAGCACTGTCGCCTCACAGCATGAAGGTTGCTGGTTCGAGCCTCGGCTGGGTCATTCTGGTCACACTGGTCTGTGTGGAGTTTGCATGTTCTCCACATGTTGGAGGGTTTCCTCTGGGTGCTCCGGTTCCCCACACAGTCCAAACACATGCGCTTTAGGGGAATTGGGTGAACTAAATTGGCCGCAGTATGAGTGTGTGTGTGTGAGAATGAGTGTGTATGGGTGTGTGCGAGTACTGGGTTGTAGCCGGAAGGATATACACTGTGTAAAACATATGCTGGAATAGTTGGCAGTTCATTCCGCTGTGGTGAGCCCTGATAAATAAGGGACTGAGCCAAAGAAAATGAAAGATTAAATGAAATATATACAGTTGAAGTCAAAATTATTAGCTCTCTTGTGATTTTTTTTATGTTTAACAGACTGAATATGTGTATATGCACAATATATTGGACATCCGCTGTGAGAGGATGCTGGCGCAAGCTGGCTGCCACTCCTCTACCAGATTATGCAGACTGTGCAGCTCATGTGAACCGAGCAAAAAGTGTTGCATGCAGAACTGTTGCAAACAATTTATTTGTGTTGAATTTAAACAACCAAATTAAGATTTTTTTTATTTCAAAGACCGATTTTTGGCCTTTTTGCCCTTATTATTAGATAGGTCAGATTTTAGACAGGAAGCGAAGTGGGAGAGAGAGATAGGGGGTAGGGTAAGGAAATGCCATCGAGCCGGGACCCGAAATCGCAACGCCTCGACGTGCCACTGCACCATATGTCGGCGCACCAACACTAACACCACTTCCAATAGCAACCTAGTGTTCCCTAGTGGTCTCCCATCCAGGTACTGACCAGCCTCAGCCCTGCTTAGCTTCAGTGAGTAACCGGTCTTGGGCTGCAGTGTGATGTGGCTGTGGCTAAACCAGCCGGTTGTTGCCGATTGTTCCAATGCTTAACATTGACTATTATTCTTACTATTGTCACCATCATCATCATCATCATCATAATATTCACATCTCGCACGAGATAAAAGCTGACTACATTTAAAAAACAATACATATGAAAAAATAAATAAAAGAAAATAGGTGACCGGCCCACATTTAAAAAATGGTCCGGCCCTTCTGGCATTTGCTAGAATTGCCAGATGGCCAGTCCGCCCCTGCTTGCTACAACTCCTACATCGCCCAAGATACACTCACAGGGGCTCTTGCCGGTATCCCCAAACAAAATGACACCCTGCTGGTACAATTAACACAGTCTGATCTATAAGACGTGTGGATCATCATCGTTCCCCATCTCGGTGTTGTCCTGCAAATCTGGCTTGTCTCCAGATATCTGCGGCTATCTAGGGAGTTCGCCTCAACGCAGACAGGTTTGCACATTTAAACGCTCGCTCTATAAACAACCAAGCTGCCTCAATTTATGATCCAATTGTTGACAATATGCTTGACTTTCTCTGCCTTGGTGAATCCTGGCATGAGCTAAATATATGTACTTTATCTGGCTATACATATCTCGAGCAGCCTTGCTCCATCGGACAGGGTGCTGACTTGGCTGTTGTTTTCCGATCAGATGTGACTGTATCTGCAGTAACGCTGCCTTTATTCCCCATCTTTGAATGTTTGGTGTTTAAATTATCTGGTCCATCCTCAGTTTTGATTTTAAATATCTATTGTCCACCCAAACTTAATAATTTTCTGAGTTGTTGATGCTTGTTGAGTGCCCACTGCTCTGCTATTCTCCCAACGGGTGATCTGAATATTTATGTTTACAATGTGGACTGTGCCTAGCTACATGTTTTATGGACACTTTGAGCCTAGTTCACACTACAGGATTTTAAACATCAGCAGATCTCTGTGCCGTTCACACTACATGACTTGACTTTGTGTCTTTTAATCGCTACGTGACACTACGTGAATGATCCACAAGAGGGGGGTCACACACTACATGATCTGACAACAACTCATTCCCCATCAGCTCATTCAAGCTACCAAACCACAGCCAATGAAATTTTGAGGGAGGAGTCGTCAGAAAAAGCTGAACACTATTGGCTGCTTGTGTGCTGATGACATCACTGACAGCGTTTCAAGCTTTCGAGGAAGCATTTAAAAACATCGTCAAATCAGCTGATTTATCAGCGGATTAATCACTCATCTGCAGGTTCCAGTGGATAGATACGCAGAGTTTTTAATTTTTGTAATTTTATAACTCTTTGAAATAAAACTAACATATTTATAACACCCTGCTGTTTTCTAACTATTAGTGTATTTCTTTCTGACACTGTTATTTTTTTTATTACAAAACAGTAAAGAACTGAGCATTTCTGCCTTAAATTACCATATTGGTCAAAATGACTGCATGCATGTCTGATACTTTTCACTGTGACTTTAAATATGTGTGCATTTTCTTGCCTAGCAACTTCCTGCTAACATAAACAAAACTTTCTGGTGGCAAAAACATCAATTTACTTCAGATATCTTTCAAAACAGCATATTCTGTGCTGTGAAATAGCTCCTGTTTGAAAGTGAAAATGAAAGCCAAGACCTTTGCATGTTCTAGTATCTTAACTACATATTTATAGGCTGTATTACCAAAAAAAAGATTATATTTTTAGGGTAATGGTGTCATTAAATGATGCCAGACATATAAAGCTTAATTTTAATATCTCAATAATAGCTTTGAATGTAAATATGTTGTGACAATATGGCGTTTTATATGAGAACGATCAGAATGAGCAGTATGTTAATTCTAATAGTTACAGAATTCTAGTTCCACTGTTAATATATCCTACTCTCATGTCTGTGTTAATGCAGAATGAAGCGACTGCACCGATGCCCATTCTGACCAATCACAGATGTTTCTGTTGAGCTCCTGAGCACACAGGCATTCAGCTCATGCTGATATGCTCTCTCATTGGCTGCAGCTCGTCACTACATCTGACCACACGTGGGGTTGAGTCGGCCGACTGCTCTGGAATATTTAGCATGCTGAATGTTGGATTTCCGTCTGCGAGGTGTCGGCGACGCGTCAGCGAGCCTCGTTGATGCGTTGTTCAGTAGTTCACACATAAAGAGCCGCGAGTGCCGTGCACCCGCAGATTTCTTCCCGATCACAGCCCGATCTGTCGGCGAGCTTATTAACTTCCAAATCAGGCTTAAATCAGGCTTAAAATCCTGTAGTGTGAACCAGGCTTTAGACTGTTTTATCTTCTGCCTTGTATGCCTTGTGCTTTGGGTCTAAAAAAAAAAACGCACTAAAAATAAAATGTATTATTATTATGGTTTAACATAATATTGACCTTAAAATGGTTAAAAAAAAATTCAAACTGCTTTTATTTGAGCCGAAATAAAACAGTCTATCTCCAGAAGAAAAATATTATAGCAAATACTGTGACAAATGTCTTGCACTGTTAAACGTCATTTGGGAGATGTTTGAAAAAGAAAAGGAGGGCGAATAATTTTGACTTCAACTGTATGTTGTGTTACTATGAACTTGTTTCTCTCACCGTCTGGTCTGAAAGCGGTGGGAGGACGATCTGCCGCTCGATAGTGTTTAGCACAATCTTCCAGAGCTCCTTCAGGACCCGTTTGAGCACCGTCTTCTCACAGATCTTAGCGAAGAGCATGAGACTGTTGAAGAGAAGAGAGTAGTAAATATCCATCCAAATATCCACATATTAGTGCAGTAAATATAAAATTAGATGCACAAAACTGGAATATGGGAGAAAATATTTGCGAATGAAGCAGCATTTCCATCCAACAAGTCTAAGGGAAGAAATTGGTCACTTCCTGATAAACTGAAGAAAATATTAGACAGAGAAATGTGATTTAGTGCGTTGTGATGTTTTTTCTTCTATAATAATAGAGTCAAAAAACTAAGCCAAAACAGAATCAACACATGTGGTGGCTTTTGGAGACGTGAGACTCACTTTGGGAGTGCAGACAGATTATTTAAGACAGTTCTGGAGGGAATAATAATAGAATAATGCTAAAACTGAAGCACTGTGATGACAGACTTTAGCTGAGGGCTTTTAGAAATGAGCAAAACAACATTTCAGATGTTTTACAATATGCTGGAAACATTGCAAAGTCCATTAATGTGTCTCATCACACACATTTATATCTGATCAGCAACTGTCAAAACTAAATCATTTGACATTATTTATGCACATGCTGGAATTTACTCAGTAAATGTGTTCGCATTGTAGTTTGTGCAACAATTTTCTTATCGAATAAAACGTTTAACCTACTCAGTTGTGCACAAACATCTTTTAAAAGGTATGCACATCTTTTGAAAATCTTTTTTCTTTAAAATGTTGATAATTTATTTGACAAAAATATCAAAAACATTAAACTAGACACTTCTTTAGAAATTCTTGTTCAATGCAATTTGGAGATTGCACAGAACACATGTCATTCTAGTATACAATTAACAGAAATCCCACAGGTTTTAAAAAATCGAAACGATTTTCTTTACTTTTCTTTCAATTGGCATTTCTTTTGTGTTGCACCACGGTATTGCAACCCAGTAAAAACCCATACATATCTATTTTTACTTTCCCAAAAGCCAATAAAAAAGCTCAACATCAGAGAAATAAAATAATAATAATAATAATAATAATAATAATAATAATCAAGTCAACATTAACTGGAAGCAGGTTTTGTCATATTGTGATCCAGTTCTTATAAAAATGGAATATTAAATGAGAAAGCTGTGGGCGTGGCTTATTTTTTCTACTGCAATCTGATTGGATGTAGTAAAGTAGGCATTTCAGTCAGAAAGATGGGGAAAGGGGGTTTTAGAGGAGTTATTACAACCTAACAGACCCCTCCTCCATTTCCGTTTGTTGACAACACTGACAGCTGGAGGGGTGTGGTTAAGTATGCTAGCCACGCCCAACACCTCAAACAGACACAATTTGAGAATTAAACTGAAAGCAGGAAGTGCATTTTCAGATTTTAATTAAAGGGCAAACTATTGTTTTTTTCTTAATGACATGCACAGATGAATTGTTCACCACATAACTAGCACTGTGAGCTGACAAAATCAATAAGGACAGTTTTGATTTCATATGTACTTGTCTTACCTTGTATCTACCTTTAATGTGAAATGAAAGGTAGATACACTAGAAAATGACGCCAATTTTTTTCCTTGGTGATCCTCTGACACTGATTCAAGAGTTCACACTTAGCTGATAATCAATAAAGCGTATTCGGCATGCTGTCCCGGGAGAGAGCCCTGAGCTTTTAATATCCTCGAGCCCGGGGCTCCCTCCCGTTAGAAGGGCGAGAGGGGAGTTCGAGCTCAGTATGTCTCGAGAACTCCCCTGCTTCTCCCAGTGTAAGAAGTGTAGGTTGTCTTAGGTGATAATTTGGTTTAGTCGATTGGCTATTGTTTATGTTATTGGACGGTGGGAGGAAACTGGGGAACCCCGCGCGAACACTGGGAGAACATGTAAACTCCGCATAGACACAGCAACCAGCCCGACAGGAGGCTGGACCAGCGGTGTTCTTGCTGTGAGGCAACAGTGCTAGCCACTGGGCCACCGTATTGCCCTACCGGAAAAAGGGGGGAAGTAGGGGTGGAAGGGGGGAAGCTTCAAGATGAAAATAACTGAAGTGAAAAACTCTGGCTATTTATAATGCTTCCGTAATCATCTAATAGGGCAGATTACGGAGCTAATGAGGAGCCAGCCGTGTTGATCATAAGCACGTGAACCTCTCGAAATTAGTTTATGAATAAACCACACACAGTATTTTCTCAGGGGTGCTTAAGGAATTCAATATTCCAAAATGCACATTAAAATAGGTGGATAGAAACAGCTATTGAGACCTTCAGACTTTTTTTTTAAGTGTTATTTTCTTACTTCTTGTCCAGCAGGTCCATTAGGGGTCTCAGCACAGTCTCTGCATCCATGGCTGCGTTGCTCTTGTTTCCTGCGTTTCCCTTCATCTGCACCAACTCCTGGTTCATCTGCTTCACACAGTCCTCGATCACCGGCTTAAAGCTGAGGATTCACACCGTTCACAACAACATCAACTTTACGAGGATTTAGTTTGAACATCTAACTATGTGTTTAACTTAAACACATAGTCAAAACGCTACTGAAGGGATATTATATTGCTCGCACCACTTTCTACAATATTCATTCATTTTCTAGTCGGCTTAGTCCCTTTATTAATCTGGGGTCGCCACAGCGGAATGAACCGCCAACTTATCCAGCAAGTTTTTACGCAGCGGATGCCCTTCCAGCCACAACCCATCTCTGGGAAACATACACACATACACACACACTACGGACAATTTAGCCTACCCAATTCACCTGTACTGCATGTCTTTGGACTGTGGGGGAAACCGGAGCACCCGGAGGAAACCCAGGCGAACGCAGGGAGAACATGCAAACTCCACACAGAAACGTCAACTGAGCTGAGGATTGAACCAGCGACCCAGCGACCTTCTTGCTGTGAGGCGAACGTGCTACCCACTGCGCTGCCCCTTTCTACAATATTATAAATTATAATGAATATAATGCAAATGTTCATTTATTTTTTTACAGCTCAAATTTTGTACAATAGGCAGTAAAATGCTTATACAACTGCATGAGACTTAAAAAAAAAACTTAAAAAATCTATTCTATAGAATATAATATTATTCTTAAAATAGTTATAGCTATAGAAAATACTAAGAGTATAAAACTATTATTTATAGATCTATATGAAACTATATGGATAATATAGCTATAGAAAAAAATATAAAAGCTAATATTTAATTTTTAATTAATAATATAAATTTAATATTTAATATTTAATTAATATTTAAAGCTAATATATTAAAGCTTGTAAAAGCTGTGAAAACACACAGAAAACATAGACGTGTTTCTAACAAAGTATCTGGTGCATAAAGAGAGGAATATCTGACATTATGGAATACAATAATTACTCTTAAATGTATTTTATTTTTAATTTAAACATAATTATTAAATATTTTATTATTGATTATTTTATAGCAAGAATTTATATATTTTGTTGGTTAACAATATATGCATAAACCAGCCTGATCTCACAAGAAAACATAAGTATTTTACGTTTTGTCAGTTTAGGCTAATTCGTACAAATTCATAGTTCAGTTGTATGTAAATGTACAATTTTAAAAAGGAGGCGTGGCACCCAAGCCCGCCCCTAAACCCAACCGTCATTGGGCGATGAGCAAATCATACTAAATTGTACGAATTTGATCGTATGAATTGAAACGAATTAGCCACTAAATCAAAAAGATACGAATTGCTGTGCGATTGCGTTGGCATAAACATATATAATGTATTTTTTATTGCTGCTCAAATTTAATCTAATTTAATATTAATAATCACACAAAACTTACAATAAATAGTTAAATTAAATTATTTTATATGCATATGCATGTCTATATATTTTTAATGCACAGATGGAAATCAACATAACATTAATGAAAACTCAGTAAAATATTTAAAATATCATATTTTATTTATATTGAAGGATTCGGATTTCTGTTTTCCAGTCCATCTCATCATGGACCAACGTTTATCCTTTTCATCATCCTGTTTCTCAGTATTTAACTGTGAATTGATTTTAATTAATGAATAAGTTAACACATTGCTTAATATAAGAATGTTCAGTGCATTTGCCGGTCTCTTTATAACTATTTTCAGAAGCCACCAAACTAGGTCAGAGGTCACGGAGACCTTGAGTGGAACTGAGGACTGGAAGCAACTGTTTCTATTGTTATTTCTAGTAGTTGATACTATCTAAAATGTCTAAAGTGATTTAGTTATTTTTACGGTTAAATCTTTTAAAGGGATTCTACTTTTTATTCAAGATAGACTTGTTGTAGTAAGGATAAAACTGCCTGAATGTAGATAATTCCGGTTTTTAACCAGTTTCAATAAAGACGGCTGAGAGTACACTCAGCCTTGGATAAGAAACAGATTATACTTTAAGTGTGTGTGTGTGTTCTATTTGATTGTTGATTCGTTTCACAGGTCTGGAGTCAGCTCTAATCAGTCTAAAGGGATATCTGACGTTTATGCTTAAGATAATGTTCAGAATTGTACTGTATGCACGAACCCCACGTGGAAATGTTCCAGTCTATCTGTGTTTTAACCAATCAGGTTAGGACACCTCTATGTGTGACGCAGTTAATGACGTTGTGAGAGTATGATTGTTATTGATTGGTGATTGTGAGCAGAGCGGCCAAGGAACTCATTGCGAGTGTTGAAGCTGGCTTCTGCTGATTTAACTGCAAACTATCTTCAGTAAACTTGATTTATTTATTTAAATCTCTGACTCCGGCTCTTCTTCATCTACCAGACTGGTCATCCTTTGGGTCAATCTGTAAACAATCCCTACAATATATTTATAAACTAATCAGAACGAATAAATAATAAATAAATAAACCAAATAGATCACTCAAGCTAATCTTTAGCTATCTTTTTTTTTTAATCACAGAAGCCAAAGAAAACATGTTAAGTTTTGCTTTTGCATCTAAACACTTTCTCTGCCGACATAATCAGAGCTGTGAATCCCCTATATTATAGCCTAACATTTCAGAATTGAATCAAATGGATGTAAATAGAAACATTAGATGAGTTCTGTGGTGCGTAAGTGTGTGTGCTGACCTGGAGCCGAAGACGGCGCTGAGCTCGTCCAGAACGGTGTTGAGTTTATTCTGCAGTTCCTTTAGCAGCTCGCTGGCCTCTGCGTCCAGCTGCGCACACACACACACACACACACACACACACACACACACACACACACACACACACACACACACACACACACACACACACACACACACACACACACACACACACACACACACACGAGTATTAGGAGCAATGCATATATTTTAGATATTGATATACCAGAAGCCGGTCAAAAAAAGAAACAAACACAACTTTTTCTAACAATCAACCAATGATAGCATAAAGACCGGCTTCTGATGACTGTCAGACACACTCTCAATTGCATATTAAGCTAAGGGAAAAGTAAATATGGACATACGATTAAAAATAAACGCTTGAAAGAGGGCGGAAAAAGAATCGCCTTTCAGTTTGTGGATATTTGTGGATATAAACTATATATTATTTGTTTATTTGCTTATTGTTTTTGCGAGTTTTGTCCTCCCTAGTGGGACAGTAGTTGAGAAGCACTCTTCAGATCTGCGTGTGTTCTGCAGTGTCAGACTGATCTGTGAGTGTGTGTGCGTGCTTATGGTTTCCGGAAAGCAGAAACTGTCAGATCCATCAGTGAAGGAGCTTCACTCTCATCAGCTTAATGGAAAACACACAGACAAGCAGACCCTTACACTCAACAATACAAGATCATCCTGACACCTACACAGTCTTTTTCCATCCAATTACATATATATATATATATATATATATATATACACCCATCAAGCAAGCTTTAGGTCATGATGTCAGGTGACCAAAATCCCATGTATAGTAAGCATTTAAGGATGTTATTTTGACATGATTTTGATATTTAGGTTGATTTTCGATTGTATTGAAAAGTGACCAAAATCCAACGTCTGATAGATGTCATAGTGGTAACGTCCACACAACATAATGTGTAACATGATTAGACGTTGATATTTGGTTGATTTTAGGTTGGACATTGACGTTGGGTTCAGACATTGGGTTCTGTTGTCAACCCAATTTTCATATACAAACAAAATCCAACGTCCCCACAATGTTGGGGTACAATGTCAATATGACGTCATGTGCCTGCAGGGTGCATATATATATTCATATGTACATACATACATACTTAACGCTAATTTGGGCTCAGTAATCTTGATTGATGCTTATTTACTGTTGGTTTGCCTTTTATAAACTTGCTTTATGCAGTTTTATATATATAAAAAAAACATGTTAAATATGAATTCCTGTCATTTAACACAGATTTCAGAATTTTTATACTTATCAGAGGTGCAAAGCAAAATATGGCATTTTAAAAATATTAAATCAAGCACAAACAAACATTCGTTTTTACTAAAGACAAAGTGCCTCACATGGTCTCTGCATTTATTTTAATGGGTTGTTTTCCTAACACATAAATGGCCGTGACTTTTTTTATGGGCGTTTTATGCAACCTTATGCACTCATCGGAACAAAAAACATGAATTTTTCTGACTTACAAAACATTATATTGCAATCAATATCGGTGAACTAACCATATATGGGTCCTCACCCAATAACCCTGACCCTAAAGGGATAGTTCAGCCAAACAATTACTTTACTCATTTCAAACCTGTATGAGATTCATCTAATGAACACAAAAGAAGATAATTTGAAGAAAGCTGAAAGCCTGTTAGCATTGACTTCAATAGTATTCATTCTCCTACCATAGAAGTCAATGGTTACCGGTTTTAGGTTTTCTTCAAACTATCTTTTTTTGTGTTTCATATCATATATCATGTATACTATTATATATAATGTCATATCATATCATGTCATATCATATCATATCATATCATATCATATCATATCATATATCATAACATCATATATCATATCATATAAATCATGTCCTATCTATCATGTATCATATCATATATCATATATCATATCATGTCATGTATCATATTATATCATATATCACAGTGGTTCTAAAACTGTGGTACGTGTACCACTAGTGGTACGCAGGCTTCCTTTTAGTGGTACGCGGAGAAATTAAATATGTCAAGTACATGCTACACACAATTCAAAATTTATCAAAAATGATGTATATAAAATGCTATATATAACATATAGCCTAAATTTCTGAAGTAATCTGCGACGTTTTTTTAACTGTGCAGATTTGTAGCTGTTTTACTGGGCCTACTACGCTACTGTATTTCAATACTGCTCATTTTTGGTGGTACTCGGAGAGAAAATTTTTTTCTGAGGTGGTACTTGATGAAAAAAGTTTGAGAATATATCATATATCATATCATACCATATCATATATATCATATATCATGTCATGTATCATATCATGTATCATATCATGTATCATATATCATATATATCATGTCATGTATCATATCATCATATCATATTTATCATATATCATATCATGTCTCATATCATGTCATATCAAATCATATGTCATATCATATATCATATCATGTATCATAACATATATCATACCATGTATCATATCATATATCATAACATCATAGTTCATATCATATCATATATCATATCATACCATATCATATTATATATCATTTTATATGTCATATCATATTTCATATCGTATATTATATCATTTATTTTTATTTAATGCCATGTAATTGTTTATTTGTGAATTAAATGGTTTTTTTTTTGCCATAAAACCTAACATAACCTAACACAAGCTGAAAACCTGTAACCATTGACTTCCACAGTAGGAAAAACCCATACTATGGAAGTCAATAGTTACCGGTATTCAGCATTCTTCAAAAGATCTCCTTTAAGTGTTCAACAGAAGAAAGAAACTCGTAAATGTTTGTAACCTCTTGACGGTGAGTAAATATTGAGTACATTGTAATTTCTGTGTGAACTGTCCCTTTAAACAGAACTTTAAAACAGCGGTCTGAGTGTGTGACTAAATCCTGAATTGTGCTTTCTTCATCAAACCGAGCGCTCCAGATATAACCCCGTTCCCAAAGCAATTAGCGAACTCACAGAAGAATGTAATTACAGTGGCTCGTTATCGTGGATTTATAAATAAAGGATCCCGAAGTGTCCAGGAAAAGCTCAGATAGTGTTAGAGAGCAGAAACAGAGATTGTGGCCATCAGACATGCTCAGGTGCAGGACACAAACCCTCATCTACTGACCATTTCACAGCAACTTTCACTAATTAAGAGGATAATGAGGTTTATAATGAATTTAACGTTACGGTGTTAATAGTTCACTTTAGTGCTTAGCAGAGATCTGTCACTGATTATGAGTCTGTCGGACCCCCCGGGTTTCAGATACTCTTAAATATTCATAGTTTGCTTTCTTAAATCAATACTCATTCATTTATTCATTCATTTTCTTTTCGGTTTAGTCCCTTAGGGTTCGCCACAGCGGAATGAACCGCCAATTTATCCAGCATATGTTTTTACACAACGGATACCCTGGAAACACTGGGAAACACCCATACACTCTTGCATTCACACACATACACTGCAGCTAATTTAGTTCATCAATTCCCCTACAGCACATGTGTTTGGACTGTGGGGGTAACCAGAGCACCTGGAGGAAACCCACGCCAACATGGGGAGAACATGCAAACTCCACACAGAAATGCCAACAGACCCAGCCGGGGCTTGAACCAGCAACCTTCTTACTGTGAGACGATCGTACTACCCACTGTGCCACCGTGACGCCTAAATCAATACTCACAGGTGCTTTTTGTCCTGTCCTTATTAATACATTTTATTTTTATTTAATTAATTTAATTAATTGTATTTTATTTTGATTGAAGTAATTTGAAATTTTATTTTGTTTTTAACAGTATTTATTTTATAATAGTTCTTTTCCTTATTACCATTATGGTTGTATGATTTATTTATTAACTGAACTTTATTTATGTATGTATTCACTTTTCATTTGTAAAATTTTTATTTGAAATGACATTTTTACAAAAACATTCTCATTACCCTTATGGTTGCATAAGTGGTCTTTAATGAACCTAAATGAGCACATGTCACTCCGCTGCTCATCCGTTTGCACTGGCTGCCAGTTGCTGCTCGCATCAAATTCAAAGCTCTGATGTTTGCTTACAAAGCGACTTCTGGCTTTGCTCCTCCTTATCTGCTCTCACTTCTGCAGATGTATGTGCCCTCCAGAAACTTGCGTTCTGTGAATAAACGTCGCCTCGTGGTTCCATCCCAAAGAGGGAAGAAATCACTTTCCCGAACTCTCGCGTTCAATCTGCCCAGTTGGTGGAATGAACTCCCTAACTGCATCAGAACGGCAGAGTCACTCGCTGTCTTCAAGAAACGACTAAAAACTCAACTATTTAGTCTCCACTTCACTTCCTAATCTGTAATTGCCTCTCTGGCTCCACCGCTAACTGTATTACAAAAAAAAAAAAAAATACTAATGTTTTGCTTCTTAGACTTTACAGACCTGAAACTTGCCTATAGCACTTATTTATTGTTGCTCTTATAGTTGTGTAAATTGCTTCCTTGTCCTCATTTGTAAGTCGCTTTGGATAAAAGCGTCTGCTAAATGACTACATGTAAATGCATGATTTATTTATTTCTTTATTTGAATTGTTGTTTTTTTTATTTACCATGAACAGAAATCATCAATGGACAGATATTTTATTTATTAATCCATTCATTTAGACCAATTTATTTAAAAGTGCAACAAGTCATATCTTAAATAAATACTAACTGCATCATTTGTGTGCCGATACAAAAAAACATTTATTTAATACTGTGATGGCAGGGTGGCGGCGCAATGGATAGCACAATCGCCTCAGAGCAAGGTCACTGGTTCAAGCCCCGGCTGGGTCAGTTGACGTTTCTTTGTGGAGTTTGTATATTCTCCCCATGTTCGAGTGGGTTTCCTCCAGTTGCTCCGGTTTCCCCCCACAGTCCAAACACATGCTGAACAAGTGAATTGGGTAAGCTAAATTGTCCGTAATGTATAAGTGTGTATTAGAGTGTAAAACATATACTGGATAAGATGGCTTTTCATTCCGCTGTGGCGACCCAGGATAATTAAAGGGACTAAACCAAAAATAAAATGAATGAATGAATGAATGAATAATACTGTGTGGCTTTTTATTATTTATTAATTTTTATTATATTGTTAAATTATATTAGGGTATCATATGCATTATTGCAATTAAAATAAAATACATATTTAATATAAACAAAAAATATCTGCACATTTCATTTCTTAAAAAAATATTATATATATATATATATATATATATATATATATATATATATATATATATATATATATATATATATATATATATATATATATATATATATATATATATATATATATATATATATATATATATATATATATATATATATATATATATA